ATAATGATTAGGGATTTTTTTTAGGTCTTCATAAAACTTTTTATATTAATTATCACATTCCATTTTCAGGTACCAAAGCAGCCTGATCCGCTATGTCAAATGGATAATACAAATCGCCAAGCTGAAAGCCCAGGTGGAAAGAAGCAAGTGTCTTACAGGACAGAAATTGTTGGTGGTGTTCCTATCATTACACCTACCCAGGTAACATCCTTAAAACAAGTGTGATGTGGCTTGATACAGGAAGCTTTGTTGTTCGAAATGTGAGAATAGGTTATGTATCATAATATAGCTGTCAACCTCTCACCTTGCTCAGAGGACTTAGACTTTGATGCCCACCTTTTATTGATACTGATGGGGTTTTTTGTTTTGAGGATTTTATTCCCGTTATACAAGACTATAAGGAATTATTTGAGTATTGATTTTTTTTTTTTTAATCACAGATATCAGCATGCTGAAAACATCTTTATGTGTGTGAAATTAATTGTTGTTGTTAAAAAGACAGAACTTTGACATAAACTGTTGGGAAAAATGGGTAAAAAAGGAGGGGAGTAAATCAGCTGATGAATAAATACACTATGTTATTAGAGGTAGTGAGGATGACAGCAGATTAAACTGCAGAAGGGCCTTATGAAATGGCATGTGTGAACAAATAAGAAAACCAAGGGAAATTTAGTGAATATAAATGTCATGTAAGGGATTCTGGGAAAAACAATCTTAATTTTAACAGAAAATACTAGGTTGTGAAATAACCATTTCCACTTGAGTGAGAGGTAAGAGTTACAGTTGCACTAAGAAAACATAATCTCAGTGTTCAGTAACAGTGGAGGAAAAAATACACAAATACTAGGTGTTACTAGAAAAAGAATAAGGAGCAAAACAGGTAAGATCTTTGTTGCTGTATAAATCTTGTCTCTGACCAGACCTTGATTACTGTGTCCAGTTTTGTTCTCATCTTAAAAACTGAACTGGAAAGGTTCAGAGAGAGATTTCAAGGATGATTGGTCCATGTGGAATGATCTCCATATGAGGAACGATTGAGTAGGCTAGCTCTCTTCTGTGTGCAAAAGAAACACCTGAAGGAGGATGTAAGAGCTCTACAAAATCACAATTGGCAGAAGTGGATGGTGTAAACTTTCTTTTCCACTACGGGAGCCGTGGGCTTTTAAACAAAGCTAGTGGTATAACCAGGTGAAACAAAGAGAAGGAGTTCTTCTTTCAGTGGGTAATAAAATATAAGGTACTCCTTGCCAAAAGATGGCATGGATGCAAGAAAGTTTCTGAGTTTGAGAGATTGGACAAGCTCGTCAAAGAAGATTCTATGCGGTGTTAAAGATACAGACCTGTATCGGTTTCTGGAAGTTCCCTGAGCTGAGAATAGTTACAGATTGGATTAATATAATGTAAATGACATGTATACACCTGAACTGCATTTAAAAAGTTGGTGAACTCTGTTGTCTTACGGTCCTAGAAATAGCTTTTTCTTTGCTGTAGCCACCTCTGGTGTTTTGCCCTTAAAGTCATGTTATGAATTTGCTTTAAATACATAGGTATATCTTGGGTTATCTTGGGTTTAGGTCTGTAACATTCTTCATTGAGTGTTTGTCAGTATTGTTTGAGAATATTCAGAATTTACAGTGTAGTTTGTAAACGGAGCTTGTAAGTACTCAACCAGAGCCCTTGGACAGTCTCATTAGCTGTCTCTAGAAATCAGTTGAAATATTTTATCCTTTCAAACAAATTGTAAATGGGATTTGTGAGCATGGGATGATAAAATTATTTTCTATTATAACTAGTATAATGATTCTTTGACCTTTAGCAAAAAATGAGAATATTCTGAAGTTTCCTGTTTTTTTTTTTCTAGAAAGAAGAAATCAGTGAGTGCAGTGAAGGGGGTGATAGGAATTACTTGAAACGGTCACAAAGTCACCTTCCTTATTTTACTGCTAAGCATCCCCCAGATAATGCTATTATCAAAGCTGGTTACTGTGTAAAACAAGGAGCAGTGGTGAGTATTTGAGATCAGTGTGTTTCATTAATCGAAATCAAAGGTCCTAAGGTGGTAGTCATACTTACCAAGTAGATGATTTAAAAAAAGAGACATTAATTACCAATAACTTTAACACTAACGACAATATTAAGGATGGCTCAAAAATAAAACTTACCCTCCAGCAGCATGTAATTTATGTCTGCGTTACTACTTCTCATTACTTTCTTCAGTGTTAGAGGAAGAGTTGTGTGCACAGAGACTTTCACATTATGGTTAGCGCATGCAACTAGGAGGAATTCTTCTGTTCTGCAGTTATGCAGAGACCCTTATTTTGCTTACTAGAAACATGTAAATTAGGGCAGAGTTCAATGAAATCACTGAAATGTTTAGAAAAAGCTAATTTTTCAGTGCAGCGGAAGAATTGTACAACTTGTCAGACTAACACATGTGGAATTAATCACATGATGCCTTGCTAAAAGAAGGAACAGATAGTTCAGATTAAGCAAGATATTCATGCTTTGTGAGTCCTCAGGCTCATTTTGTCTTGGATTATGAAGCTTCTTTTTGTAACATGACTTTTTTTACTTAAAAATAAACTAGAAACCTTTAATATACTGTCTTTTAACATTTCTTACAGGGTATTTGTTCTGCTGAGTTGCTACAGTTTCAGTGGAGATTGTTGAAAAATTCTTATAATAGAAAAAAGTAGCTTCCAGAATTTTTAATTTTTGCAGTCTTCTAAAGAAAATGTATAAATATTTATTTCTTTTCCTTTAACAGATGAAGAACTGGAAGAGAAGATACTTTCAGTTAGATGAAAACACAATAGGGTATTTCAAGTCCGAACTGGTAAGTTTCCAAATGTGTGTTATTTTCCAGTAATAGTTGCAAGAAAATCTATAGTAGTACACTGCTTCTGTTTGAAAAATGTGCTGTGCTGATCCTGCAACTCTTACCTCTGTACTGTAATAACTTTGCATGATCAGGAAAAACAAAAAATTAATAGGGTGGCTGTTAAGTCAGACTTCAGTTTCTGTTTGGGAACTTGTCTGTAGGGCACTGAAGAGCAGTAATAGGATATATTCTACAGTCACCCTGATTTTTGTATTAGTATCTTATGTCACTTTAATCATGTTCTTGAAACAGCTGATCGTTATGTGGAGACACAAAATTGTAATCTTGCAATTCTTAATTTAAAGTTAGGATTATGGGGTGTTTTATCATACAAATGATGGGATCTTTCCCCACACGCTTCTTTCACCAGGGCAGCCAAGACAGGCAAAGAACTCTGCTGTTCAGAAGCAACACTTAAAGTTTGTTTTGGTTTCATGGTCTGTCTTCCCCACTCATTGCTCTTGAACCTTTTGACCAATTTTGACCAAATGTTAAGTGCTTTCAGACTTCATTTAAAAAATGAAGTGGCTGGTACTGGAGATGGTCTGTTTTCCCCAAAAAGAAATTCCATAGTTCCTAAACATGAGAACATGTGTACATGAGGAATAAAGTCTTAAGTTGTAGAGTATTATAAATCAAGGAAAATTGAGTTTACAGACCAACTGTAAGTTGCAAAATGTGAAGAAGCCAAATTTCAGGCTGTTTTTGAAGAGAAAGTTTGCTTTACTTTTAATGAGGGAATACAAGAGTAGCAGGAGTTTGATCTTGCATCATTGTCTTTATTAAACTGTCAGCATAACAGAATTCTGACACATTGCCTATGATAAACCCACTATTTTCTTTTTAAAGTAAAATCTGAGTGCAGATTGCTCACAAGTAAATTCTAACTCAGTGAAGAATTCTTCACTGAGAGAGTATACTAGAAAGCTGGTAGAAATGTATACACTTTCAGTATTTCATCATGCTCCTTTCAAGTTTATTTGAAATGAACAATATACAATCTTGCAGTGTCCTCTTCTCTTCAGGCTAATATCCCCTTGCAGCAGTTTGAGGAAGGTACTGGACTGACCAGCTGTCAGACAGCAAGGAAGTAGATCCTGCTTCACAATTTTTACTAAAATCAGGTGGTTTTTTTCATTTTAAGAGAGTCACCCCTCTTCAAGGAAGTAATTTACTGAATAGAGAATATAGTGTCCAATAAAAATTGGACTATAGTGGTTAATCAAAGAATTCTGTGGTTAGGAAACCTGATTGATAATCATGTTTCATATAGTTTTGTAACTATCTGAAGCATACATGTTGGAGAGACGTTTAATCTGTACTGCAAAGAGCAAAATTTTCGGAGTGCGGCCCACTGAGAAGAAAACATATGCAACAATTCAACCATATGTCCATCAGACTTATTTATCTCCTACAAACAGAAAAAGGGCAAAGTGCTCTCTTAAGATTTAAGTGGTGAATGATTTCTTTCAGCAATGCGTGGGATCTCTGTTTCCTTAATAATCTGTTCCTAATGAGAGTAACACAAAGATAGGAAAAAACGTTCAATAGCAGTTGTTTGTCACGCCTTTGTGGTTAGGAAGGCTATAGCATGGAGGTAATATTCAGCTAGTGTAGCATCAGACTTCTAATTCTGGAAAACTTCTTTCTGTTGGACTTCAGTTCCCAGTAGCTGCGGTCTACAGTCAAATATGGCTCTTACTTGAAGTTAAAGTGTCTTGGCAGCCAGCCTGTTCACCAGTACTTCAAGTGACTCATACTGGATATCTTGAGATGCTGTTGTTTTGCATCTGTAGAAACATCTGTAGAGTTCTCTGCTCTCAAAAATGTAAAAAATTGTGTGTTTTTAATTGAAAAATGTGTAGATTCAGGTGATTTTTTTTGTTTTGTTGTGGTTGGTTGGTGTGTCCTTCCCCCTGCTGCCTTTAATGATGTGCTCTCTTCAGTTTGAGGAAGAGCCTGTGTCAGTCCTCACGTGGAGCATAGTGGAATACAGGCAATATCAGACTTGGAAAATTAAAATTTCTGAGCTGAGGTCTTCCCTGCAACAGGTGTCTGTATTCCAGGGATGATCTTGCAGTTTGCATTTGATGTATTACTTGAAAAACTCTGTCGTAATGGATGAGTGAACCTAGGAAAGGGTGGAAGAGGGGCAAAATAACTGAATTATTTAATGAGTTAATGTTGCAAGTACCATGGTTGGTTTAATACTCACAAAAGCAAACTTTTTGGTTGACACCACCTTTTGCATAAGTGACTGCCTTGAAAGTCTCCTTTATGTAAGTCTGCTGTTGTCAACTGTCCTGACCTCTGGCTTTCTGACTATATTCTAGTTGTTATACTCAACTGATAAATATTTTTGCCTTTTTTTTTCCTTCAGGAAAAGGAACCTCTCAGGGTTATACCACTTAAGGAGGTCCATAAAGTTCAGGAATGCAAACAAAGGTAAGGAGAGAAGCAGTTGATGTGGTTACATGGGATGTAGTACATGGATTTGTCATGGCTAGACTGCTTGTTGGAAACAGTGGAGAACTCTTTAATAACTTTGGTTGATGTATGCATGTGATACCCTTTACTTATAGGACAGCAGGTAGTTTTGTGCATAAAATTGGTTTTGAGAGTTCTGTATTAGTGTGTATTTCAAACTTGTAACATTCAGTAGAATGTAAATGCATTGGACAAGGGTGGAACAAAGGGATATCATGCAGTCATGAGTTAGAGATGCATGGGTGCTGTCTAGAGGCAGCAATTTCAGGAGTCTCTATTCTGCTTATATAATCTCTAAACCTTCAGAGGACATTACCTTGTGTTCAAAATGTCTGAATTTAGATGAGAACACTCATCTTCCTGCTGTTTCCCTCCCATCAAATGGCAATATATTAAGGAATGAATTGCCTTTGTAGTCGTTACGACAGATATTGAATTGTGTTTTTTTAGCAGGCTATTGTTTAGGACTAATACTTTGTGAAGACATAACAAAATATAAATGTGAAACTTTATTGTTGTAGTCAAATTTCTGTAAATATTTTTAAACTTAACATGTATGGTTTAGAATGTTCCAATTAAAAATATATATAGTAGCACATGTGCTGCTGATAAACTCGAGTCTTAGGCCTAAAATAAGAAATGCTGGTTTTCTTTTTCTACTTGGTCTTTACCAAAAAAACCAACAGCAGAGTGATAAAAGAAATACAAAGGTTTTCAGACAACAAATGGTCTGATTCTTTACACATCCTAGAGTTTTTCTAAATTAAAGTGGGAAAGTTGTACTTGCTGTTAAAGTATTTTTGTGTTTCATCTACAGTGATATAATGATGAGAGACAATCTCTTCGAAATTGTAACAACTTCTCGAACCTTTTATGTACAGGTAATTTCTTTTTTTAAACTTTGGGCAAAACCAAGAGACTACCATAGTCAAAGCAAAGCAGCACTTCTGTTTTGCTTTTGAAATTGTATTTAACTATGCCATGATTTTCAGAGGGAATGTGATCTTCGTTATATTCCAGAAAGATGCGTATAAGAAATATTCCACGTTGGTCTTCCAAGTTCAAGTGTTATGTTGGTAGTGTATGAAAATAATAAGTAAATCCTAACGTGATTTTGTTGGCACTCAAGTCTTCAGATTCTGTACCAAAATTTCCTTACCTATTTGGTAATTTGTATCCATATACACTTTATTCACTGTATCCTTACCATGTCACCTCTACATGTTTGGATATATAATATAAATCACAAAGAGTTGCTTTTCCTGACTGTGTGGGAATGTGATGATTATAGTACTGGAAATAATTTTTGAGTTTCTCTTGTAGGATCAGAAAGGCCTGTATAGTCTAATATAGGTAGCGGTGCCAGATGCTGAGTTATGAGCTGTCCTGTAGCTGAACATAATTAAGTGACGTGTTGCAGATGTTTCTTGCTGGCTTGATGTGCCAGTTTAGTAAAGGTGCAACCTAATCAGGCAATAGCTTTAGCTTTTTATCTGTCTTTATCTCAGATACGTACACCCTTGGTATTCACTGTTAATCTGTTGCACCTTTGGATTGTTGTTCTAAGTAAATGTACAGCTGACCCCCGACAGAGACTGATTTTTATTTGGCTGTAACTCTTCAGTAAATATATCATAGAAGTAAAGTGCAACAGTGACTGAAAAGTACAGAAGTTATGTCATTGGCCAAAGTCTAAGAAGGGTCAGCAGATCTCCTGTAAGAATTTCTGTGGGTGCTTTAATTTTTTTTTTGTTTCCTGAAAGTAAAAAATTTGAGTCTAGAGTATGCAAATATTATAAAAATACTTATTTCTTATTCTTTCATATAATTCTATGCATATAATAGTAAATTCAGGGCAAGATTTTAAGAAATGTCTGGGTTAAGAAATGGAAATCCCTATGGCTTTAAATAACAGAATACTAAAGTAGGGTAAGGCTGTCATTTTCATGTCATTCCCAGGACACTGGGAAAGTTGAGAGCTGATTATGTGAAATGTAATTCATATTGTTTGATCTAGGCGGACAGTCCAGAAGACATGCACAGTTGGATAAAAGCAATTTCTGGGGCCATAGTAGCACAGCGGGGACCTGGAAGATCAGCAGCTTCTGTATGTTATTCTGAACCCCAGAGAAAATGTGATTAGTTGATGTTCACTTGGACACATGAAGTTCTAGTTGTTTTTCCCTTTCGCCTGTTCTCTATCCTGTCCTCTAGTAACGTGGCATCTTTGCATGACCTTTCATACAGACTGGCATAAAATATTTTGCATTTTTAATGGAGCCCTTATCTTGGTCTTACCTGGATGTAATTTTATGTGCATTGTATTGTCTTGAATATGTAGATAATGCAAGTGCTAACCTAGAAAAATTCGTCTGAGTTCGGTATGATCTTTGTCACTACTATAGTTTGGAGGTAAAATTGAAACTTTCTAATTCCTGCGAGGCATTTCTGCTAATTGCTGAATTTTGCCATCAAATGACGATATCCTAATTTGTTAACAGCTCTGACTACTAAATTGTCGTTCTGTATTGTTGATAGTTTATGGTATATGCAGATGTGGGTTGAAATTTAAATTAACTTCTCAGAGATCTCTGCTCGCATGAATTAGTCTTCACTGTTGAAAACGTAGTGTGAACATCATCTAGCATTACTGAACTGAGGCACTGTGACAAATCTTAATATTTGTGAAGCCATGTGGGTGCCAGCATTTCATAATAACTTGCATTTAAGCTGTATTAGATGTTCGGTACAAAGTGCATTAGCTTTGTGAAAAGCAGTGAAGGTTACTGTAGTGTCACAGTGTCTCCAAGTATGTCCAGATTTAGCAAATGGAATACTTTACAGTTCAGATGTTGCAAGCTATGGTTTTCACTTTCTGGCTATGGGATGTTTTATAATAAGCTGAATATATCATTACCCCCATAATCTGAAATCTAATCACTTGAATCTGGCTTTTTTCTAAATACTTGCATTGATATTGTTAATTAATACTCTGTTAATTCAGTCTAAACTCTCAATTACTTTTTGCAGTTGGGAGCTACTTCATGCTTTCAAATAAAATTTCCTATCATAAATTTTGTTTATTTTGGGGGGAATGAAAATATGCAGATAACTTTGTGTATGCTGCTTTTTTTTTTTTGTGGGGCTAACTGAGCCTTCTAGCTATTACTGTCTGCATCACTTTTTTCTTTTTCCCTCTCTTCTCTTCTTTCCCCAAGTATAGGTTACTCTAATCTTAGCTTTGCACTGTGTTCCAGATGCGGCAGGCCAGAAGGCTGTCGAATCCTTGTATACAGAGGTATACATCAAGAACTGGTGAATGCAGCACGTATGTGGGCTCTCATGTAAACTTGCCTTCTTAACAGAGGGCTAGGACTAGAGACTAATTTGCACTATAAAAACCTAAAAATAATCCTACCTGTTGTCATTACCATTACTGAAAACTAACTCATAAATTATATCATTCACTTACAGGTTTGCACTGTTTTTTCTTACTTTTAAAATTATTGGAAATGAAAAATGGCAAAAACATGTATTTATACTTCAAAGCATACTAGATATTTAAACGTAAGTTATGTGATGTCATTTTAATAGGAAAGTATTAAAACCAATTTGCATGAGAGTTCATATTTCCATTTTACTTTACATTTTTTTGAAACTGCGCAAAAGCAAAATTAAACTGAAGCTACCCACAAACTAATACAGATGCGTGCACACAAAAAAATGCACGTCATAACTCTAGTAATTGGAAAGACAATATTGTAGCCTGATTTGCATGGCTTGTAAGTCTCTGCATGAAATTATTAGTTCAAACATAGAAGCATTATAATGTATAATCGGTACACTGTTCAAAGCAGTACACCTTAGGAGTAATACAGCAGCATAGTCTCTTAACTGTGAAATTACAGTCAGTGTGGGTAGTAAAATCTGAGCATCCCTCAGTTCAATTTATCAAAGAGTTTTATTATAGAGATCTTGTCCTAATACCCCTTACTTTTGTCCTACCTGTTGAACTAAAATTATTAAGAATAGTAGGGAAATCACTGAATCATATGTTCTCCTAAAGCAAAGGTTTTTCTTAAAGTGGAGTACCAAGTCAGGTATGAAATAAGGCAATGTATATAATGTGAAATACTTCAGTGAAATTGAACACAAAACTGAAGTCCAAAGACAGTTGTACAGCTCCTTCACCCAATAATATTAGTTAATTTATGAAAAGAAATAACAGTAGTGCTTGGCAGAATCCATTATGATTAAATTTATGAATTCATGTTGTAGCGTTCTAAAAGAAACTTGGAAAACAGCTATGAAAAAATAAGTATTTCTTTTAGGATGTATATTTGCATCTTGGACACACATCTGTGATGGTGTTTTTTGCTAACAAATGTGCTTGAAAAGTGACTTGATTTGTCTGCGCACATGGTTTCGCAGATTCCTGTAGTTCATGTACTAACACTGGTGATGGCAGAAGTGGCAGCAGCTGCAGCTCTTAACGCACGCAGAGGGAAGTATTCACTGCATCATCGCACACCATTTTGTTCATATCATCTAACGCTGTATCCAGCGGTGGTTTAGATATCCCTAGGTATTTCCGACATCCTTACAGAACTGATCGATACGATGCAGAATCTGAGGAGTTTTTTGTTCCGGAGATACAGCTGTAGGTCAGGCAGGATATCCTGGGACGTCAAAAATGGCACTCTGTGCCTATGCTTTAGACATCTAAGTCATTCCTAGGTATTCTGGGAACTTGTTTCTATCAGTAAGTAAAGGCTGGAAGATTATGTTCATCATATCAATCTAACAGAGTTATGTAAAGGTCAACAGAATGGCACTTAACAGTAATAAACAGAAGAAAATAACTTGAAAATTTGAAGGAATAGATCAGTTTCTTTTCTAGCTCCATTAACTTTGGAAATTGTTACACAGTCTCAATAGCAAGAAATAGTTCCTGGTTTTGTGTGGTCCCTGGAACAAATTGGGGTCATTGGTACCCCCAAGAAGAGGGAACAGTAAAATGTGCATTACTTCAGGATTTAGGATATGAGTGCCTGATGTATATGAATATGTTTGAATACACTTTTCTGTGGGAAAGGTGTCACTTACAGTGGCCTTTAAAGTGTGTATCTTCAAAAGGTTACTTAATGTCTTGGTACAATGAGAAGCCTTGATTTGGTGGACTATATTATGAAGTCTAAAGAGCTGCTGAGCTTGATTTGAGAAATTTAATTTCTTCAAATGAACAAACAGATGTTGCTGTCACATACTGCTGTAAGCTCACATTTAATAATACACCACCTTGAGAAAGCACCTGCCTCCCGCTGCTGTGGCTGATGCTTTGCTTTGTGTATTTTCTGTCTTGATTTTTTTTTTTTTCTGAGAGTGAAATGTGAAATCTTTCCAACATTACATCAATGACTTCATCTGACACGTGCTCTTCTTTTCCAGGAGCATACCGAGTCTTCTTCCGAACCCAACCATGCTCTCCGTTCTGCCATCCCAGCCCCAGCCACCTCACATTCCACAGCCGCTCACGGCAGCCCTCTGGTCCCAAACCCTCACGCCAAATACCCTGCCTTGGAGAAGCGAGGATTTCACGAATCTTTTACCAAGGCCAAGCCAGGGAGCTACAAGATCCAGGTTGTCACTCCAAGAGAATCACCTTCCAAAGTGACTGAACGGGGCTTCTCGGAACCCCAAAGTAAAAATGGCACTCAGGAACAGGATCCTGGCCTTGTGGATCTGGATGATGCAAGCCTTCCAGTTAGTGATGTGTAGTGACGGAAGTGTTTGGAGAATGATCCATTTGTTCGGTCCTCTAATTTCCTTGCTCGGACTTTTAACCAAAGAAAATTATAGGAAATGAGAACAAAAAACCGGAACACTGATTTTTTTTTTATATATATATATATGTATGTGTGTGTTTCTGTGCACACATGTGTGTATATATAATGTGTTTGTATATTGCCTTTCAGCTGAGGGTCAGAAATGGACCTTACGCGTTTTCTCAAAGCCTGATAGTAAATCACTTACTAGGGAGGGGCCAAACTGCACAATTTAGGAGAAAAAACCCAAAAGACAAAAACAAAAAAGTATTTCTGCAAGCAGGCAAGGTACCAGCAACTTTTCATTCCTAATCTGGCAAATTTACTAAATTTACAACTAATGCTATCTTATTGCCAACAAATGTGATTACTTAATTTAATTTTGAACTACAGTAAGCTTTTAAGCATAGATGAGAATTTTTTCAAAAAATGACTTTTTGAAAAGTCTCTTTGAAAAGACTCTCCATGACTTTCAGATACCAGGAAATGCACAAAATGTTTCTTCTGTTCTTTAGGATCAACAGCGTCAACTGATTTGTTATCAGAACAAGAATTCTGAACTCCCTTGGAATTCTAATTATGGTGCTGTAAAATTTCCACTAAAATAATATTTTGAGTAGTCAGCGTGTTTTTGATGCACTCCTAAAGGTGGGTTATAACTTTTTGCACATTTGGATTTTAATGGACTGCATGTCATGGTGTTTTGGAGGGGGGAGAAGAGAAATTGGACTTTTGAATTTGGACACTTTAGATCTTTTGAACTAAGTAGGGTTTATATTGTGTTACATTAGGCTTTGCAGCGACTATTCTTCTTAAATGTCTAAATGTATCGTTTGATTACTGTTTTGAGAATGGTTTCTTATCAGTGCTTTGTGAGCAGTTCTTGTTTCTATACTGATCAGTGGAAGACCTCCTCGTTTAGTTTTGTCATTATTGGTACTGAACTGTTCATAGTCATGCAGTTGTGGCCTATAACTTTTGGTGCACTAATAATCTTAAGTGCCTGTGTTTTTTCTCACATTGTTGAAACACTTTTGGATTAGTTATGTACACAAACCATTCTTAATGGTTTTGAACGTTGGCCTGGAGTTGCTCTGAATAGCATAGTTTGAAACAGCTATTTAAAATAGAAAACTTATGCTAGGGATACCAGTGTTCTGGTATTGCACCTACTAGCTGTGCAATATATGTGTTTGTTTTTTTTTTTTTTAAAAAGAGTATTTGTTGTTTGTGTACTCTGTGTTATGGGGCTTCAGTGATGCAAATGAAAAGAACCTTTACATTTCAACTATTGGATTAGATTGTGTACTTTTCATCATTTTTGAAAAATGTTTGCTTTAATCAAAACCCCACAAATATCTCATGCTGCTGCTTATTGTGATTCAGATTGTCCAGCTTTGCGATACGTTTTTTGTCTACTGTAACCTAAGATACATATCATACAAGTCCATCTTCTCTCCAACTTCCAAACTGACTTTCTGCTTGAGAGATGGATGGCTTCACCACAATAATTTGTTGATCCAAGGATAGAATAATTGGTGTCGTAAGAATGAAAATTAATCTAATTTCAAAACCTTAAATTATATCAGCACCTTCTGTTTTTTCATCCATAAGCTAACTAACTACTGTCTTAAGGCAGTGGTGTTTGTAAATTACTGGTTTTGTTGGACTCTTTAGATATATGTGAAAACTAGCACAGAATTGGAAGTTACTGTAAATGTCTGAACTAGTATTGTAGGTTTTAACTTCTATAAAGACAAAACAATAGCTCTTCAAAAGCTTATTTTTTCACAAGTACATTCTGTGTGGAAGACACTTTGCATTGAAATATTTTACTGTAGTCTAACATCTGAAATCACTTCTCTGGTACAGCTTTCACACTGCATGTTCATTTTATTATATTTTGCTATTGGCAGTTTTACACATTGGGTGGAGGTAAAGCAGCTCCATTATGGGACTTACAAAAAGAGGGGGGGCAGGGGGGGAAGAAAGTAACTACTGTTGTAGTTCAGTAGCATAGGGAAATATTTGTGGTTGGTAATTGTCAGGGTCTCCTATTTATCAGTACTTTTATAAATCTATGAAAATTGTTAAATTATTTTAGAAACAGTGCTGTAAATATGTCACATTTAAATTGTCAATAAATCAGTTTGGGTAACTTAAAATAACATCTGACTGAGTTTCATTGTACCATGTTAAATACTTTACCAGAACCATATATTCCTTTTTAGCATATAAGAGGTCAGATTATCTCTTACTTATAATGTTTTTTTAGTTCTTCAGATCTGATCAGGTTGTGTAGCCTAAGGAAAAAATCAAACAGAATAAGCTGTTTTTCTTTTACTGTTCTTGGTTTTTTTCTATGGAATTTTTACATGTTTTGCAAGGGAAGTTGATCAGGTTTCTTTTTAATCAATGGAAGGGAAGAGATGATGCATAGTAATGTCAAGTTAACAATTGGGAAACACTCAGGCACTGTCTGCAAAGCGGAGGGGGGAACTGCAAAAAAAAAAAACCAAACTGCAAAGCGGGGGGGAAAAACACAACAAAATGTAACATGCCTTTTTCTGGTATTACACTGTTGCATAACAAAGTTTCTCTCTCAAAAATGCTTTCCTGAAATAATGGCACCTATACGACATCTGGAAGCACCTCGCTATCTGTACAGCAGACAGTCTGATCACACTTGAGTGACTGCATTTCTCAAGTCCGTTTTTCCCTTTTGTAAAGCGGCACAGTTAATTACTCTGTCTCAACAGTATGCAAGCTTCAGATAAAGAGCGGTAATTGAATGAGATTTTTTTATATAGGCTGTACACAGTGACCCAAATTCCAGTTTGACTGTGACATTTTTCTGACCGTGAATTATTCTGGATATGCACACATCTGCAATTACAATAGTATAAAAATGTGCTTTGCCTCCAACGTTTTACTCCCGGTCTATGAATACAAGGTTCCATGGCTGGTGTCACTGCCACAATTTGGGGTTTTTTGGTAATGGGGTAGCCTTCACGGCACCAGGCTTGCTGGCATCAGGTGGGGTTCACCTTTCTCAAAGGGGAAAGAGGGTCTTTGCTCACAAGCTAGCGGGGCTCATTGACAGAGCTTTAAACTAGACTTGAAGGGAGATAATATCAGGCATGACAAGCTGTGGGGTGACACACCAAGATGAGAGGGATGGGGTGCTAGCGGGGGCCCTCAGCCTGTTGCTCTGAGAAGTGCTGGCTACATTGAGGCTCCTAAGGTTAATAGGAGCCCACAGGGAAACACCAGTGAAATACCTCAAAGGAATTAAGGGGTGTTCCTCTAAGAGGGTGACAGGGCTGACAGCCCAGCTGAAGTGCCTCTACACCAGGGCATGCAGCATGGGCAACAAACAGGAGGAGCTGGAAGCCACCGTGCTGCTAGAAAGCTACAATCTAGTTGCCATTGCTGAAACTTGGTGGGACGAATCCCACTACTGGAGTGCGGCTATCGATGGCTACTGGCTGTGAGGAAGGAAGGGCAGAGGTGGTGTCCTCTACATCAAGAAATGGGTTGAGTGTGAAGAGCTATCTCTGAAGAATAGCCAGTTGCCATTGCTGAAACTTGGTGGGACGAATCCCACTACTGGAGTGCGGCTATCGATGGCTACTGGCTGTGAGGAAGGAAGGGCAGAGGTGGTGTCCTCTACATCAAGAAATGGGTTGAGTGTGAAGAGCTATCTCTGAAGAATAGCCATGAGCATGTTGAAAGGTTATGGCTAAGAATTGGAGACTACAGCAACTGTGTCTACTACAGGCCATCTGATCAAGGGGAGTCTATTGATGAAGCCTTCTTACTCCAGCTACAGGAGGTATGGCACTTGCAGGCTCTCATGCTGCTGGGGGACATCAATCACCTCAAATCTGCTAGAAAACTAGCATGGCGAGCTGCAGGCAATCCAGGAGACTCCTGGAGTGCACGGAGGATAACTTCCCATGCCAGGTAATAGATAGCCCTACCAAGGGGGATGCCACACTGGACCTGTGAGACAGGGATTGGGGGAACAAAGTCCCTCCCACTGTAAGAGATCAGGTTCGAGACCACCTAAGGAACCTGAACATGCACAAGTGTATGGGACCTGATGAGATGCATCCCAGAGTCCTGAGGGAATTGGCTGATGTAGTTGCCAAGCCCACCTTCATGATACTTGAAAAGTCCTGGCAGTCAGGTGAAGTCCCTGGAGACTGGAAAAAGGGAAACATTGCACCCATTTTTAAAAAGGGTAGCAAGGAGGACCCTGGGAACTACAGACCCACTAGCCTCACCTCTGTGCCTGGGAAGATCATGGAGCAGATACTCCTAGAAGTTCTGTTAACGGACATGGGGGTCAGGGAGGTTATTCAAGACAGCTAGCATGGCTTCACCAAGGGCAAGTCCTGCCTGACCAACCTAGTGGCCTTCTATGATGGAGTGACCACATCAGTGCACAGAGGTAAGAGCTACTATTGTCGTATGTTGTCTGTCTGGACTTCTGCAAGGCCTTTGACACAGTACCCCACAACATCCTTCTCTCTAAATTGGAGAGATATGGATTTGATGGGTGGACTGTTGGGTGGATGAGGAATTGGTTCGATGGCACATCCAGAGGGTAGTGGTCAATGGCTCAATGTCCAGATGGAGACTGGTGATGAGTGGTGTCCAGAGGCGGCCACATAAATGCTCCGAGGGCTGGAACAGCTCTGGTGTGAGGACAGGCTGAGAGAGTTGGGGTTGTTCAGCCTGGAGAAGAGAAGGCTCCTGGGACACATTATTGCAGCTGCCGGGGCTTAAAGGGGGCTTACAAGAAAGATGGGGACAGACTTTTTAGCAGGGCCTGTAGCAACAGGACAAGGGGTGATGGTTTTAAACTAAAAGAGGGCAGATTTAGACTAGCTCTAAGGAAGAAATTTTTCACACTGTGGGTGGTGAAACCCTGGCCCAGGTTGCCCAGAGAGGTGGTGGATGCCCCATCGCTGGAAACATCCCAGGCCAGGTTGGACGGGGCTCTGAGCCACCTGCTCTAGTTGGGGATGTCCCTGCTCATTGCA